TCAAGTGTGAGAATGGCTGTTATGAGGAAGTGTGATTTGACTTCTGCCACATGTCCCCATAGAGGGGAGTGAGGAGCCAAAGACACGCGGGTGAATCACAAGGAAGGGCAGCTACATCAACTCCTTCTTTGGAAAGAGGCGGCCACTCCACACAGAACGCAACCCACGCGGGGAATGGGATTTTCCACTGCCTGGAGCCACCTGGGCACAGGCAGGCGGCTACCAGGCCCAGCATCACGGGGGTGCTCTCAGCAGCTCTGGCCTGGGAGGTCCTGGAGGGCGGGCCCAGCGGCTGGCTCTGCCTGCCTCCGAGGAAGTGGGGCCTGTGTGTGCAGAGGCTGCCAGGAGTCCCGCCAGGGCCTTCTTCCCTGGTTTATCCCCACAACAGCAGGTTTTTGATGATGCAATGAGAACAATGCCAATTGAGGGGGAAAGAATGGGTCCTTGTCCCTTTTTGTCCCTCGTGTTCTCAACGACACACAGAGCAGCCAATCCATAGCCAGGAACAGCCTCGTGCCTCCTGGGTTTAGGATTTAGAACCACTGGTGGAACTACTGGAGGTCCTCTGGCCTTGTTTATTTCCTGGCTTCCCCTCCTGGTGCACCTGTCCTTTCTTCCTCCCTGTCCCACTACTCGGTTGACAGGCCCAATATCTGCTTGAACTTTAGAGCTGCCTCACCTGCAGCGTCCCCCATAAGCCTTCCTTAGGGTGGGCTGAGAGACCCTCTGGGGATCAGGACTCTGCTTAGGCTCTTATGTTATTATCTCTCAGCTTGAAAAAATATATATCCTTACACCCCAGGCCCCGCTCCAGCACCAGGAATACCTCTGACCAGCAGTTTAGGCAGCATCTACTAACCTTCCACAGGCCTGGGGTAAGAAGGGTGGCTAGAACCAAGTCCAGAGATTCAAAACTGCGCGGGAATTGAGTGGGGTGGGAGTGGCGGCCCTCACCTGGGCTGGGAAGAGGGCTGGGTTTGAGGGTATATGCTGCCTCAGGCCCAGAGGGTGACCACTGGTGACCCAGTCCCTCCAGTGTGGGCTCAGTGTTTCCTCCCTGCCCTATCTGGCCTCTAGGTATGCGGTCTGTGTCCTGGTCACCCTCAGGCCTGGCGGGAAGCCCATTGTTGTGCTCTGAGTGATGGAGAAGGTTGGGATGCAAAGGAGAGAAGGGTAGAGGGTCCCAAGGAAGGAGTCTGGGGGCAGGTGATTCAGGAGCAAAGCTAATGAATTCAGGACTCCAAAGGAGGAGCCTTGTCTGAAGCAAGAGACAGGAGAAGATAAGATTGGGAACAGAATGACCCAGAGCTCTGTGTCTCTGCCTGGAGCCCCAGAAAGGACTTCCTAGTGCTTCCAGAGAGAGGCAGCTGGGGCAGCCGTGAAACTGGGGGTTTAGTCTCAACATGGTTGTGGGTTCCTTCACTATTTTGGAGGGGTGTCAGATGTCATGTGCTTGTTTGCGTGGGGGCTGGCACATCTTTTTATGTAAAACTGCTTTCACCCCAAATGGAAATAACCAGAAGCTGGGGTTGTGGACTGCCGGGTAGCTAGCCTGTGGTCCCCACACAGGGAGGTAACAGGCAGGTGCCAGGTGCTGCGGGTGGCCCCTGTGTGGGGGTGGTGAAGGCTGAGAGCCTGCCTGGCATCGTGCCAGAAGGCAGCCAGGGAGCTGGAGGGAGGAAGGCAGCCATCAAGGCAGGAGGGGAGCAAAGTCAAGGGAAGGGTCAGTCAGAAGAAGACGGGGGTTGTGCAGTCAGGCAGCGGGCCAAAGAGACCCGAAGAAGGGAACCAGGAAAGGGCAGAGCCAAGCCAAGGTCAGGTGCAGAAGCCAAGGGCAGGGCCAGGCCTCCAAGACAGACTTGTTGGGGACGAATCCAGGTCTTCAAGCCCAGCCCCTGTACTTTCCACTCCGGAAACAGGAAAACCACCACAAAGAATCTGATGCCACCGTGTGCCCCCAGGCAGGTCCCTGCCTTTTGTTCCTTGTCATCCTCTACTCCCACGGCCACCACATGGCTCCCAGCAGCCCTGTAGGCCTGGTACAGAGCAGCCAAGGCCCTCGGAGGGATTCTGCAGGCGGATAGTGGCTCCGTCAACCCCAGCTCCTCCATTTGGGGTGAAAGCAGTTTTACATAAAAAGATGTGCCAGCCCCCACGCAAACAAGCACATGACATCTGACACCCCTCCAAAATAGTGAAGGAACCCACAACCATGTTGAGACTAAACCCCCAGTTTCACGGCTGCCCCAGCTGGCTCTCTCTGGGAGCACTAGGAAGTCCTTTCTGGGGCTCCAGGCAGAGACACAGAGCTCTGGGTCATTCTGTTCCCAATCTTCTCCTTGTCTCCTGCTTCGGACAAGGCTCCTCCTTTGGAGTCCTGAATTCATTAGCTTTGCTCCTCTCCAGGACAGGCTGACTCGTGTTTCTGATGGAAAATAAGGGAAAAAATGTGAAATAAACTCATCTTCGTTAGAGCCCAGCCAGTGCCCGGTGCCAGGCATGCTCTCCAGTCAGACGTGTTAGACCTGTTGTCTGGATGGTGGAGCAGCAGACCTCCAGGGTCACAAACTTGACCTGGACCTTGAGTCTTTCCAGAACCGTCGCCCAGAACCCCAAGGCTGAGCTCTTTCCAGAGGTCAGTGAGACCTTCACGGAAAGAGGTTGAGGCTGACTCTCAGAGGCAAGTGGCCTGCTTAGGGACAAAGTGGGGACCCTCAACTGGCCTATGGATGCCCAGGCTCAGGGGCAGCCTGTGGCTCCCTGGTGGTTAAAGAGGGAAGAGGAAGAGAGGAGGACAAATGCAGGCCTGTCTTCAGGACTGGACGACAGGTGGGAAGGGTCCCTCTTCTGGGGCATGGAGGGCTGGGGGGAGGCTGGAAGGGGATGTGGCCTGTGGCTGAGTTCTGCTTTCTTGGAAAGCCAGGGAACCGGCACCACAGAATTAGAGCCCCTGGGGGGCTTCCAGAACTTCTTTCCTCCAGCCCCTGCCTCTGCATTAGATGCCCCTCAGCTACCCTAAGGTGGAGCTGATGGTTTCCACCCTGAGCTAGAAGCTTGTATTTTCTTAAATGTAAATGGGGGAGGGAATCATCACTTCCTTTAAGTCTTCACTCAAAGCTCACCTGAGAGGCCACCCCTGGACACCATATTTCAAATTGTGACTGTGTCCTCCACCTTCTTAATTCCGTCCCTTCTCTATTCCTCTATTGCATGTCTCACTGTCTAATGTACTGTTTAATTGGTTTGTTGATTTTTGTCTGCCTCCCCCCATCCCGATCCCAGTGCCATCAGACTTGAGTCTTAGCTATTGTGTTCCCAGAACCTATTGTAAACCAAGAAATCATAGACTGAAATAAAAGCAAAGAGAGTTTCATTCAGGTGCAGAATAATTGTGCAGAAACCAGGGTCCCTGGTTGGGAGCATTCTCTGGGGAATATAAATAGGCTTGAGATAAGTTCAGCAATTGGAAACTGGCTCAAAGTAGGGTGATCATAGATTTATGTATGTATGTATGTATGTATGTATGTATGTATGTATATTGGCACTGGGAATTGAACCCAGGGCGCTTAACCACTGAGTCACATCCAAGGCCCTTTTTATCTTTTATTTTGAGACAGGGTCTCGTTGAGTTGCTGAGGGTCTCACTAAGTTGTTGAGGCTGACTTTGAACTTGCAATCCTCCTGCCTCAGTCTCCTTGAGTTGCTGGGATCACAGGTGTGCACCACCATGTTCGGCATAAAATTTTTAAAGTACATTAGAATGTCTGTGTCAATAGGCGAACTGGCCAATCTAATATTTCTCAGAAAGTATTGTTAGATTTCAGAAAATTGTTCCCTCTGTCAGATCCAGTTCCTGATAAGATGCCTGTGTGGCAATTTACCCCTGCCAGAAAAATCTCTAATGCTTAGAAAAGACCATTCTGCAGCCATGTTGATTTTTATGGTATCCCTAAAACAGGGCCAGACACTCAATAAATATTTGTTGAAAGAATGCATGAAAGACCTATGTAAAGTGTCTCACAGGACATCCCACTTCTTATTATAATTGCTATTGTTGTTTGCTACAGGTGACTTGTGATCCTTCAGTCCTCTGGCCACCAGATGATCTCTGAGCTTCCCTTTCACTCTAAAAATCTTAGTGTCCCAGATGCTCCTAATATGAAACCTCCCCTGATCCAGCTAATTCCCAACCCCTTCTCCTGGCATTCCTCAGCGGAGCTCGGCCAGGCTTGGTGCATGAAGCTCTTCCTTTTGACTCTGAGGATCAGAATGGGACGCAGGTGTGGGATCATGAGTCAGCCCAATAATTCCTGGAACAGTTTCCATTCAGATATTTATGTGTTTCAATTTAATTGACTTTGTTGCACTGTTTCATAAATTTTATTGTTTTCAATAGAGGCAATTCATTATGTGCATAATTAAAGCCATTTGATTTTAATTTCTTTATCAAGAGTTTTCACAGAAATAACTTCCCTGGATTCAGAAAAAAATTTACCAGACCACTTGCCCTGATGTGGGGTTTAGATGTGTGACCCTTGGCATGGAGCTCCATACTGTCCTGCCCTGGGTGGGGCTCTGTCCCTGGCCATGGATGTCCCCTGTGGGGACAGGATCATCCCGGATCCAGTGCCTCTGTGATGGGGGCTCAGGTCGGTCGGGCTCAGCCATCCTCATGGGGCCTCCTTGGTCCTCTGAAGGAGGCCGGCCAGCGCCCTCCAGCTGCCTCTGTGGGGGCAGTTTCAGGAGCAGAGGCAGCACATGCTCCCGGTTTTCGGTATTCGCTGAGTAACTGGGATGAACAGGGAGGGCGGAGGGACAGGTCTGGCAAGTTCTGCCTTGTTTATACTCAGGATTACCTCACATCCAACCAGCCTCCCCGCCCGTTCGCAGGGCCGGCCCTCAGCCCTCAACCTCCTTTTCCCCACATGCCTGGGAAGCTGGGGGCAACATGGACCTTCCTCTTGACATCAGCTGAGCCTAAGACTCATCCCTGGGAGGCCATGGAGAGGGACAGCGGCAGGGTAAGTGTGCGTGTGGGTCTCTGCTGGCTGATCTTCCCGGTGCTGAGGGACAGGGGCGGCTGGGAGACAGGTGAGGCACAGCCGCTCGGGTGCCTCTGGTTTGCGGGAAAAGAATGCCTCCTCTGGTCGGAAGTTACTGGGGACTAGGATCTCTGGGCCTCCTATGCATCATGATCCCTGGAAGCTGCTTCTGCGGGGAGAAGCTGGTGGAATTTGGATTCAGGTCCCAGGACTGAGTGGCTGAGCCCTTCTTTGTGACCTGTGAGCAGTCTGGCCAGGACATCTGTGCTGTTAAGTGGTCAGTTTTGCTGGTTGCTAATCTAATCTAACCTAACCTGATTTTTGCTGGTTTGAGAATCAAGAGCATCTTACTTGATCTTCAAGTCTACCTTGTTTAATCCCCTAGTAGATTCCAAAACCTTCCCAGAAAAATATGACTTTCTGTGTACATTTAAAGATTTTTAAGGGATTTTTCAACCATGCTTAGTCACTTATTTTTGCTCAATAATCCTCATCTTGGGAAGGGCTTCCTTGTGTCTAACCACAATTCCTTGCTACAACATGGTTCTTTTCCTTTGCTGCTCTTGGGGTAGTAGAGAGCAGCTGAGCTGTTTTCTGTGGGCGGAAAAGCTGGTTACAGACGTGTAAAGCCTTCCCAAGGCTTCAACTATGCCTCTGCTTTCTAACTTTTCTGAGTGCTCAGGTCTTGTTTTCTGCTCCTCTCCATGTTCTTTGTACTTTCTTGATATGATAGAATCTGGGACTCGAGGGAGACGGGCCAGCCTGGATTTGAGAAAGATCAGTTCATTCTGTGTTCCAGCCTGGAGTTGGCTTGTGGTCCATTTTGAACTCCAGATGTGTTTCTGGAAGCTTTACCACTATTTTTCCTACCAACCTTTTTGTGCCCTCTTGACTCTTCTTTCCCCAGGCCACCTCCCCTGCCTTCTGGTCTCCTTGGCTCATGTCTCCACCTCACCAAGGTCTTTTGGCCTCAGGCCTCTGAGACTCAATGGGGTTGCTGGTGATCAGAAAGAATGGCATATAGGATGGAATGGAGTTTTGTTGGAAGCCTGGAGAACGTGAAACTGCAGTCACAACAATGGTGTCCTCCTGGGTGGCTTGGTGGGAGTCTAAATTTGATGGTCCCTATACCCAAAGAGAAGGGCTGAGCTATCTAGAGGGAGGCTGTGCTCACAGTGGAGGTGAATGGATGGGCCTGGTCCTGGGGCAGGGTGATGGGGAGGTGTCCACCCAGGAGGCCCATGGTCCCAGGAGGTCCCTGTCCCCAGAGTCAGGAACCCATGTGAAAGGTTGCTGGAGGAACAAAGGATGGAGAACAACCTTTTATGTTTAATGAAAAAATAAAGACTTCTAATTAATACTTAAATTTCAAAGGTATGGTAGGCCATGATCATCTTGGAAGGGAGATTGTCAGAACTTACTTCAAAATGAAAGAAATGAACCATTCTTTCCTTATTGAAGGTTTTTAAATTTGTCCTTTGGTCTTAGGTGGATTCTCTGGGGTAAGGACAGGGCAAGCTAGAGAGGGGGCTGCTAATCATGTTTGAAGTATTTGTTGAGATTGATGAGACGGGAATGGGCTGGGAGATGCTGGTCAATAAGGCCAAGCCTTCTCCCCAAGGGCTTTACTGCAGAGAGATGATTTCAGTTTCTGTCTCAGCTCTAAACACTAGTAAGGAAGATGGTGGCCAATGGGCATGAGCCTGCTAATGCTCCTATGGGAGAAACTAAGTCTTCAGAAAGATCTTGGGAAAGGGATGGACAAGGCGCTCAGTTTCTCCATATTCAAAAGCAAAGGTGAGACAGGTGCTGTTTGCAGACCTAGAATCACAGTGACTTGGGAGACTGAAGCAGGAGAATCCAAGTTGGAGGCCAGCCTGAACAAGTTTGGTGAGACCCCCATCTCAAAAACAACCAACTAACCAAACAAATGAACAAAAACACCAACAGAAACCCAAAACCAATCAAAAGTTTCATGCTGTGGTGGACAGAGAACTGACCAAGTTCCAGGCTGTGGGCAAGCTCTAAACCTCCCTGTACCTTAGTTTTATTCCTTTATAAAATGGAATAATAACAGCACCAACAGAATAGATACTGTTATATTGTGTGCATGTAAGAATATGTAACAGCAAGTGCCACCATTATGTAAAACTATCATGCACCAATAAAAAGTGTAGAAAAATAGACTGGAGTCCAACACAACAAAGAAAAAGAAGGAGAGGGAGGAGGAGGAAGGAGAAGGGAAGGAAGGAAGGAAGGAAGGAAGGAAGGAAGGAAGGAAGGAAGGTCTTTCACCTAGTAAGCCTCTTCTAGAACAACATCCAACGTTCCAACGTTGATAGAGATGCAGATATAACCACAGTGTTAGGAATTACCTCCATCATCGTCATCCTCTGGTGTCTAATCCTGGCTCCTCTAAATTTGAACAAATATCTTCTCTCTACATCTAGTTTTCCTCCACCTTCCAAAGAAGAGGGTTGGACAAACTTCCCCGACTCCCTTTCTGGTTCCCTAACAGTGGCTGGAATCCCAGAGAGTGGGATTGCCGGGTGCCGCACTGGATACATGCATCTGTTCTTCCCAGTGGTGCACACTAGACCTGCAGTGCTTATTAGAGAAAGACTGAAGTACACCCACTGATAAAACAACCATCCTTTGTGGGACAGATTTTCTTATGCTGGGAATTCCTATTTCTTATGCTGGTTCCAAATCACCCAAGACCACACATGCTCTGGATTGGTGAGATCCAGGACCCTCTAGGACAAGGCACCTTCCCCAGGATGGGCTGGGCAGGCTCCCAAGGTGGCAGGCCCGTGGACTCAGTTCACCTTGCCAACCTCAGCCCAAAGTGCAGGCACCTCTGAAGCTCTGTGTGTCCTTCGCCCCTGTAGGGACACAGCCCCCACCTGAGACCCGCATCATGCTATCGTTGGTCCTGAGCAGCCTTCTGCCTGTTACACCTGCCTGTCTTCCCTGAATTGTCCTCTGTGACTTGGCAATGGGAACACAGGTGTGTGGGAGTGTGTGCCAGGCTCCAGGCTGGGTGCTGGGCGGGAAGACTGGTTAATAGAACAATGGCCTCTTAAGTGTCTTGTTTTGGCAAAACAGCTTCCTCTTGGCCTAGCAACAATAGGGGTGAACTGAGCAGGTGGGCAGGGAGCCGGCGCCAGGGGGCGGTGGTGAGTTTGCCTATATTCCGGGAACTCCAGGTTCAGGGAACAGGAGAGTGGGAGAGAGCCCTGTGGCCCTGAAGGCGCAGTAAGGCCTGGGCCAGGCGGCGAGGAGGGGAAGAAGCCCTTACCACTGGAGCCCAGCCCGGTGTAGTTGTCATACTGGATAGGGTCAGGGCCACCCCACTGTAGCCCATGGGGTCCTTAGTAGCCCCCAGGGAAGCATTTTAGGCTCTAACAAGGGGAGCTCCTTCCTGCCCCTCTTGGTCCTGTTGGGGGCTGGGGGCAGCTTTTCCTGTCTAGTCCAGAGTGTTGGGGTTCCAGCCTATGGTCCTGCCTGTGCCCACCCTTTGAGAGTCCTTGATACGCAGAGTTTCTGGGGAAGAGGGTGCGTATCTGAGGCCTAGGTCTGGGGAAGGGTCTTTCCTCTCTGGAGGATGGTGAGGGGCAGGCTGTGGGAGAGTACAGTGTCATGGGACAGCTCAAGGATGTGGCTAGAGGTTTGAGCTTCTAGTCCTGCCACTGTCCCTAACAGGCTGTGTGATCTTCAGCAAGCCACCAAGCCTCTCTGGTCCTTCATTGCCTTATCCAGATAAAGGGCTTGGGCTGAAGGGGTTTCAAATTCCTCCCAGCTCTGACAATCTGAAGTGCCCAGCCCCCCACACCAGGAGTGGTAGCTTAATGAAAGGATGTCCCCAAGGATGGAGCTTCGACTGGACCTGGAGGGACCCATTGGGCCTGCCCCAGGCTGGGAGGTTGCCACCAAGGTCGCTGGATCTTCTTCAGGTCTACCAGGGGAGCTTTAGATAGCGTCCTCCTCACTGTCTGCGTGGGGCTAAGACTGACCACGTCTGTAAGAGTCCATGCTGCTGCCTCTTTGCAGAGCCTGGGGCTCAGTCCACAGCACAGCCACATAGCCAGGGGTGAAGCACCCATGAGTTGGCTGTGGTGTCACTCAGCACAGACAGAGAGCCCCCCTCCTCCATGACATCACCAACTGAGCCCACAGGAGACACAGGGGAGGCCAAAGGCAGGACACTCTCAGGGGCTTGTTAACTCACTCCCATCCCCCACTAGGTTAGCAGTCCCAGGGGGAGGAGTCCCTACAAGAAACCAGAAAAATTCCCCACTCACCTGGAGGTACAGAACCCAGCCCTGGGAACTCAGTATAGAGAGCACCAGACTGAAAGAAAGGGGCCTTGGATTTCATTGTTTTTAAATCCCTGGTCTGCCATAAGACAGACCTCAACAACTTCAGGCAAAACACACAAATGTTTCCGGTCTAGCTAGGCGCAGTGGCATGTGCCTGTAATCCAGCAATTTAGGAGACTGAGGCAGGAGGATCACAAGTTTGAGGCTAGCCTCAGCAACTTATCAAGGCCCTAAGCAACTTGGTGAGACCCTGTCTCAAAATAAAAAATTAAAAGGGCTGGGCATGTAGCTCAGTGGTGAAGGGGTCTTGGGTTCAATCCTTCCCCAGTCCCAGTCAAGAGGAGCAGATGTTTAAGGCCTCTGCTTCCTAGTCTGTGAGATGAGAATCATAATCCTTACAGACTCCTGAAAAGAACCTGGAGCCAGGAACTGTCCTCTGCTCTCTTCCTGGTGGCCCTCACTTTCCTTGCCCCAGAGGCCTCCCTTGCTGCCTCTTGTCCCAGGATATTTGGAGGGTCCAGATAGTCTTTGAACAGAGCCCTGGGAGCTGCGGAGGCACAGCAGGGGCACCCTGGAGTGCAGGCCTTTCATGGTGGGGGAAGAGCTCGCAGCCATGTTACCCCCAGGGCTAACCCCAGAGTCCCCCAGGGTAGGTGA